TGGTTTTCCCCCGTTTCTTTGTTGGTCTTCCCAACGGGTGGCCTTTCAGCCCACCTGTAACTGCTGGCCACAGGCTGTGAGCATCCCTTTGCTCTCCAAGGACCGCTAGCAAAAGCACGAAGGAGGGGAAGCGGCCCGGGAGGAAGAAAGGCGTCCCTGACTCAGACCCTTGAGCTTGCCTTCCCTGATGGCTTTTTCAGCCTTGGGCTGTACTGAGGGCTGCCGTTTGCCCCAGGAAGCCCAGCTGCACCTGCACCTGCACGTCAGCCTGGTGTTGAGGCACGAGGAGTTGAGGTGTGGGTGGGACGGCGTGAAGAGCAGCGCTGGGAGTGGGGAGGAGGAGAGGGCAGCGGGAGAACGTGCCTGGGGCCCAGAGCTCCGCCCCGAGGAAAGGAGCCGGTTGCAAAAAGAAAGCCAGCTTCCACTGTTTCTAAGTGGTCGTTGCATCCTAGGTCTGGGTCTGGATCCAGCGGGGCTGAGTCACCTGCAGCAGCTCCTCGGGGCTGGGTCTGAGCCCGGCGCCCGGGGCTGCGCTGCCTGCAGGAGGGCTGGGGCTGGGGCAGCCGGTGCGGGTGCAGCACGTGGGGATGTGGGAGGGCGTGCAGCAGGGGGGGCGTTGGGCCCGAGCCCCGCTGGCGTTTGTCACAGCACAGGGGCTGCGGGGGACGCCGGCAGCGCAGAGCGGGGAAAGCTGGGCTGTGTGTAGGCCGGGGCATGAAATCTTCCCTCGGCACACAGGGAGCTGCTGAGGTTTTCCCCCAAGGCTTCGTGCTCTCGCATAATAAGGCTCTGCAGCAAAAGCAGCCGGGCACTCCTGATCCTTGGGGCTCAGGAAAGGGCCAGAAGAAGAGGGGTGGCCAGCAGGGACAGGGAGGCGATCGTCCCCCTGTGCCCCCACTCTGCTCTTGTGAGGCCCCATCTGCAGCGCTGCGTCCAGGTCTGGAGCCCCCAGTGCAAGGAGGACAGGGAGCTGTTGGAGAGGGGCCAGAGAGCCACAGAGATGAGCAGGGGGCTGGAGCAGCTCCCTTACGAAACAGGCTGAGGAGCTGGGCTCATTCGGCCTGCAGAAGAGAAGGCTGCGGGGTGACCTCAGTGCAGGCTGCAGTGCTGAAGGGAGCCTACAAACAGGAGGGGAATCAACTCTTGGAATGGGGAGATAACAGCAGGACGAGGGGAAATGGTTTGAAATGGAGGGAGGGGAGATTGAGGTTGGACGCCAGGGGGAAATTCTTCACAGAGCGGTGAGGTGCTGGAACAGCTGCCCAGAGAGGCTGTGATGCCCCGTCCATCCCTGGAGGTGGTCAAGGCCAGTTGGATGGGGCCCTGGGCAGCCTGGGCTGCTATGGAATGGGGAGGTTGGTGGCCCTGCGTGTGGCGGGGGGTTGCAGATTCGTGATCCTTGAGGTCCCTTCCAACCCTGGCCGTTCTGTGATCCTTGTGATCCTTTGCTGTTTCATGCTCCTGCTGCTGCTGCATAGGTTGCTGTTGGTTTACTCTGTTTTCCTTGTTGTTTTTCTGTTGCTTCTGTCTTGATTTCCTGCTCCTTCTGCATTGCAATGCATTGTTTTTTTTCCAGTTTTGTTGATTTTCTTTTCCCTTCTGTTTCTGTTCTTTGAAGTCCTTTTTCCTTTCCTAAGCACATTCCCTTCTGTTCGCGAGGATTTCAGGTGATTTAGCTTTGCTTTCCTTGGCTTTTTAGTACTTGCCCTTTCTTTTATTTTCCCTGGTTTTCTTGGCTTTGGTTTGCTCTTTGGTTTTGCGTTAGTATCTTGGCCCTGCATTGCTTTTAAATGTTCATTCTTTCTTTCCATTGCTATGCATTGGTGAACGTTTTTATCAGTTTCCTTTGCTTGGATTCTTTGCTCTGTCATGATCGTGTACTGAATTCACTGGCTTTCCTCTTGTACCTCTCGACCTTGTTTTGCTTTGCTTTGTTTTCCTTCTTTGTTTTGTTTTGCCTTTTTGGTTTTCCTGCAGCGAGCCTTTTTGCTTTGCTTTCATTGTCTTTGTTTCCTATTTGCTGGTTGGTTGTCTTTCCTGCTCCTTTCTTGGCATGATCTTGTTCCTTTTGCTAGAAGCAGTCTTTTACATTTCAGATATGTTTCTTGGCTTTGCTCTGCATCCGATCTCTGCATCACAACTCTACGTCAGGCTTTATTTTGGGGTGGAGGAATGTACATAGGTCATAGACTTGTACAAGAAAAGCTATTGCTGTGCCCAGGAGGTGATGAAAAAGAGCCCTGAGGAGCCAGGAGCACAAAGGCCGCAGCGTAAGCACATGTGAACCTCGAAGGGCTGCTTTGTGCCTCTCCAGGAACTGCTTTGGAATGGGGCATTTTCTGGAGTTGTTCCCGGTTGTTGCTCGGAGCTGAGGCTTTTCTCCTTGTATCTTTGCAGGAAAGCAGAGCGCAGGGAGCGTCTGTGGTGAGATGCTCAGCTGAAATTGCCTTCCCTGCACCAGCAGCCTGTTTGTGTCCACGTGATGCATGGTGAGGAGAAGCCTGCAGTTCTGTGAGTAAGCCTGGCAAATGGAAGAATGGTTGTGGCCTTTTTGGCAAGTGTGTGAGGAGGGGTCTTTGGACAGGCCGCTCTTTGGTTGGTTTGGTTTTGCGGGGAAATTCCTTTCATTTGTTTTTTTGCCATTTCAGTTGTTAGTTGCAATGGTTGGTTGGTGCTTGTTTGAAAAATATTGATCATCTAGACAAGCAGTGCTGTCGCACCAGAGAAGTGAGAAATCTCCTGTGCATCCAGTCTTGTCCACGAGCCTTCCATTTAGAGACATTTAGTGCCTCTAAATGCCTGTAGAAGTGGGTGGGGGGATAAATGGGGAAGAGATGAGGTGCAGTTTCTGTGCATGCTCTGTGCACGGAGCAGGCGTCACCTGCTGCGAGCTGGGAGCCCTGCAGAGCATCGTGGATTTGCTTTCCTTCCTTGTTGGAGCGCGGTGCTTTTGTAGGTGCTGTGTGCATTTGAAGTAACTGTGAACTCTGCTGAGACACCAGGTGTCCTAGAGAGAGCCCCAAGGTCCTCAGTTCAGTGAGGGCCTTTTTCTCCATCTCTCTGTTGTTTTTCTTCTTCTTTTCTCCCTGTTAGTGTGACATACCTGGCCCGTCAGATAATTCAGCAGGGAGTGGTGCCTTCTTGCAAAGCTGTGGCAGGTGGGTGCATGCACTTCACTGCTGGTATGACAGAGCTGAAGATGCCTGAGCTGTGTTAGAGCTTTGAGAGTTGGATGGAGAGTTCTTGACCAAGGAAGAGCCCTTTGGTCCCAGCCCCCTGGGGAGAGGTTAGGATTGCTGAAGGGAGAGAGGATTCTTTGAGTGATCTCATGGGTCTAGGAAGGGAGCTGACAGGTTTAGGGTTCCTTTGCCGTGCTCTGCCCAGGCTGTGACAGTGCTGGGGTTCGATTTTGAGTCACTCGGAAGACAAAATGAGACAAAGGGTTTTTTGTGCAGCCTGAAACCCTGCAACTCTGCTGTAGGGGCTGCAGCCCAGGGTAGGTGCCCTGTCTCCACAACTGCTGACCACGTTCTTCCCTTGTCCACAGTGTCCACAGGCCAGCCCCTGAAGCCCCAGTCATCAAGACCCCGTACGTCACGTCCAACGCCATCTGTCTGAGCTGCCCCTGATAGCTGAGGCTACCTCATGTCCCCTCAAACTGCCAGGCATCCAAGCTTCTCCTCCTCTACCAGCTCTCCACTGGCTCCGACACCTTTGCCACCTCCCGTGTCGTGTGGTGGCAATGCATGGTGCTGGATCAGGCCCAGACTCCCACCCTGACAGCAGGCACGTTTCCAAAAGCTCTGCTCACTTCCTCATCCTGCTGGCTCGTGAGAAGATCCTGTTGTCAGCTCTGCCAACCAGCACGGCAGAGGTGGGATTGTTGTGGGCAGCCTGGAAAACAGCAGGGGAAAAACCATTTCCCCCTTTGGCTGTTATCTGTTGAGAAATGCTGTCTGGTGAGTGTTGAGTCAGGGCCTGAACCACTGATGGAGCATCTGGGGAAAGGACCCAGTCAGCCCTGGGAGCACAGGTGAGGGCAGTTCAGTTGCATGATGGAATGAGGGGAGCCTGGCTGCACCTCTCCTAGACCTCATTGAAGGGCTGACTGTGCATGGGCAAGGATCTCTGGTTGGAGATCCCTCCCTTGTGGAGTTTTCCCTGTGGGCCTGGATCTTCAGGGACAGGTGAGCACTTTGTCTTTGTAACACCATCTGTTGTGCCAGTCCCTTTGTGGTTACACCTCCTTCACTGCACTGATCATTCTGGTTGTTAGAGACGTCCTCTGCCCCTTCCCACCTGTAAAGCAAACAAGGCGATGACAGAGCCTTGATTTGAGATAGAGGAGCTATAGGACAGGATATCAAAGAAAGAGGAATCGACTCATCCCTCCCAGCAACAGTTTGGCAGAAAGCGGTGAGCTGAGGAATGCAGCCTTCTGCGTTTGAACTGCGGTGTGCTGAAAGGTGAGAGGGGGCTGAGGGCTGGGGGGGAGACCTGTGCAGGCTGACTGTGTGTGTGCTGCTGGGAGCACTGCTGACATGGAGAGAGAGGAAGGCTCCCCGCTCGAGGTACTCGTGTGCTCACGCAGTGGTTCAGGCTGTGACCTGGCAATTCCACTGCACCTCCCTTCCTGCACTGTCCATGTGCCACCTGCAGGTGTTGCCCAGCTGTTGGGGGACTCGCTGTGACCTCCCTGTCTCACCGCTGCCTTTGCACTGGACTTCACAGCACCTTGATGGTGAGTAGTGGTCCTCTGGAGATGCTGAGCAACAGTTGTGAGCTGCGCCCTTTTCCTGGACCGGTATCCCAAGCCCTTCTCAGCCCAGAGCCTGTCTCTCTCATCTGGTGTTCTATGGATAAGTCAGCAAGATGGGACTTTGCCAGCCACCTGGTTTCAGCTTCACCACCCAAATGACAGCAGGGCAGTCCTGCAGCTCATGGCAGCCCTACGGCTCTGCTCCTTTGCCAGGCTGGAGGGCTGAATCAGCTCCGATTCTACAGATCCTTCCCTGAGTCCTGCTGCTGAGCACCGATACTTGTGCATCCTCTGGGCCACATCAGGACTGGAAAGAGGAGTAGATATCAGGCGGAAGGATCTGGCCTTCTGCTGGTGACAGCCACCTGCATGGCCTGTTCCTGCTTTCTCTTTTCCCCAGGAGGCATTGTGCTTCCCAAGCAGTGCGTGGCCCTTTCTGATGGCAGTGAGCAGCAAGGAGCCGACTGGGTCTCAGCTTCCTTCCTGCCCTGCGCTTGACTGAGGGACCCTGCGACCAGCTCAGAGGTAAGAGGTGGCCATGGGCCCAGCTCTGCCAGCTCTCACTGCAAAAGGGAGCAGTTCAGGGAAAGACACAGCCTGGGTGAGCCTGAGCTTTACTCTGGCATCTGAGGGAGCTGTGGACATCAGCTGTGGACACGACTCATCGAGGTGTGGGTCAGCTGTGGATGCTCAGTGTTCTTAAGCAGCCCAGCTGTATCTCACAGGCTGTAGTCACAATTTCTCTGCGAGGCTGAGATACCCTGAGGATCACGGCGTCTCTCACTTTGCTCTCACGCCCTTGCTCACAGTCTCTGAGGAACGACTTGAGCCCTGTGCCCACGTCCTCGCTCACGTGCTGGAGTCACCTTTATGCATTTTGGTGTCAGGGCTCTTGGGGCAAAACGTGCCTGGACACTGCCACACATGTAATGCCTTTCTGCGGTGCACACTGGAGGATGCAGAACTGGCAGGGTCTGTGATGCTTTAGGAAGCTGGTCTGAGCTCTTTCAGCAGCAGTGAGAACTCTTCTCACCTAGTCTAACCCTTAGAGCAGCATGGAGTGACCGGTGCTTCCTGGGGATAAGTCTTTTTTTCTACTTTCTATCCCAAGTCCTTTCCTTTCCACGGAAACAGCAGAAGTGTTCCTTCAGAGCTGATTTACCCCTGCTGTGTTTCTTTTCTCCTTTTGTGGATGAGCAAGTGCCCCTTTAGGGATGAGCATCTCTTTGCTCCTCCCATTTTACAGCTCATAGCGGGGTGCCCAGGACACCCCACAGTTGTGGGGAGCAGCTGGCACAAGAGAAATAAGTCTTGAGGCTGCAGCAAAGATTTTGGGTCATTTGCAGTGGCTCAGTGGGAGCTTGCAGAGGCAAAAAGCAGCTGGAGATGTGCTCTGCAGTTCTGTGCTGGTTTGCAGATTCCTCAGGAGTTGTCCTGGGTCACCTGGCTTCCACCAGGAGTGCTCCTCTTCTCTCCACAGATCACATCCCAGGTGCTGTCTGTCTGCCTGTGGTAGGTACCAGAGCAAGGAGGCCTCTCCGTGCCATTGTTGCAGTGATTTCAGTCTGTGGCACCCACATTGGGACGCATGGATGCTCCAGAAAACAGCTGTGAACCCTGGGGCTGGGAGAAAGATGCCAAAAACGATGTAGAGAAAAAAACAGAGGTAAATCTCAGTTTGTTCTCGAATCAGGAAACACACCTGCTAAGGTGAAGCTGTTTTTCCCCTGCAACCTAGCCCTAATTCCAGGAATCAAGCATACCCCAAGCACCACCAGCTGGGACCATCCAAGAAGGTTTATTTTGGACGCTGCTCTCCAGCACCCATTTCGGAGCAGCCAGTGTGCTTCCCATGGATGCTCGCTGCTGTCCTGAGCCGTTTATAACCTCAGGAGCCCCTGCTAGAAGGCAGCATACTTCAGGACTAAAATGGCATGGTTTTGTAGGAGGGAGCAGGGGCTTTGTACCAGGGAGCTGCAGAGCATCCTGGACACAGCATGCAGGCAAGATGGGAACATCCACTGCCTGGCTGTGTTGGCTCCACAAAACTGCATGGGGACACAGCATCTCTAGCAAGAAAACCTGCAACTCATTCTGCTCCTTTTTTTAAAAAATGACAGGTGCAGCTCATTTTGGCCATGGGACACAGCAGCTCCCACAGCATCCCAGTGCTGCGGCATCCCGCTGCCCGCCTCTCTGTGGGGCCAGGGCTGATGCAGAGCAAGGCAGCAGCTTGGTGCTGCAGTGGGAAGCGGAGGGGTGTGGAGTGCTGTAGGTGTGCTGGCTGTGCCACGTGGCTGTGGGGTAGAGCTGGTGCTGCAGTGAGCCCTTGTGGGATGTTGGTGGTGCCTGGGGTTGGAGGGCTGCGCAAGCTGGCTATTGCAGGGCTGGGGACAACAGGGATAACGAAGGGGATAATGGAGAGAGATGGCTTTGGTGGGGCTGCCTGATTTTTTAGGTGCTCCAGAGGGTTGCTGAAGTTAATCAGGAAGCGCAGCATCTCTTCCTTGTAAATGTTTGGGGCTGAGGCACTGGGTGAGTGGAATGGCACAGCCGGGTCTGGAAATGATGGCTTTGGGTTTGGCCAATCCTTGGGGGCCCCTGGGTGAGCTGATGCCCTTGCCCCTGCCTTCAGTCTCACGGACCAAGGGGGAAACAGCCTGCAGGCCCAAGGCTGCCTCGTCCTGGTTCCACTTGGCTGTGGGTGGTGTGGGGCTCTGCGCCAGTGGGCTGAAGCCGGCCCCAGGGGGCACCCAGCAGGCTTTGACAGCAGCAGAGGTGGCTGGCTGCAGGCTCTCTCTGCTCCACGCTTTGTTTGGTTCACAGGTCTTGGGCTGCTCCCAGTCATCCTCCATGTTCCAAGAAATCCTTCAAGTTGGAGAAGCATCCCCCAAAGGGGTGGCAGCTGATGTGTTTCAGCACCTCATTGCAGTATGAGTGAAAGAAGCCGGTGAACACAGTGGGTGCAGGGCCCCCATCCTCAGCTCTTGGGTAAGGCTGTCTGTCCTCCCAGGGGAGCACTGCGATGGGTCCTGCCTCACTCCAGCCTCCCCTGGATGCGTCCTTCAATCCTGGTGTCTCTGGGCTCCTCTGCTCCTTGAAGTGGGGGCTGGCTGCCAGCCGGCTGGGCTCTGGGTTGGGGTGAGTGCTGCTCGCCGCCCCATTGCCCTCCAGGCAGTGCTGTTAGTGGCAGTGGCAGGACTCTGCCTCACTCCCCTGGGCCAGCAGCTTCTTCTTGGCCGGCAGAGATGTGATGGGGTGGTTGCCTTTGGAGTAAAAGCTGGACAAGAGGCACTTGCAGGCTTCAGTGTGGGCGCAGCGAGTGTCGGGACACCCCCCAGAAGGGCTGTACCAGGGCCGTGGGGCTGGCACATCGCTCCACTGGCCAGCCTTGCTTGTGGGCCTCTGTTCGGTCTTCCTGGGTGGGGGATGCAGCCATCAGGAGGTACCCGGAGGGGCAAATCTGCCCAGTACATCTTTAAGATGGGGAAGAAGAGTACACGTATCTGAGAATACTTCACTGGTGTAAAAATGTCAGCACTGATGGATAGCTGTGATGGAAACTTGCGTGGGAGCAATAATTCAGTAATAAAATAGGTCAAATCCTTACGCTGAAGGGGGTACCTTACAAGAACCATGTTGTGATTTGGTTTGACAGTTTGCTCTGCATGATGTGGATGGTGGAGCTGTGATGATGTGATCCATTTCCAGTTGTGAACAAGATTGCTCTAAGAGCTGCTGCAGTGAGATGCGTGTGGGCTGACTTTAAGCTGAAACGTAATTGCCTCTGAATATCAATGTGTGTGGGGAGATTTTGTTTTTAATTCTGGGATTTCATCCTTGCCCTGCAGCAGCTCTGAAGAGGCCCTTGTTTTCCCAAACCCTGCTTTGCTGCTAATTGAGGCTGATGGCAAGTGCTGTGCTTTGGGCCCTTTGCTTTTAGTTTCTGTGGCCTGTGTACCTTGGAGGCTGCTTTCTTTCACATCTTTTTGTTTGCTAGCCACCTCTTCAGTAGATAAGATTTCTTAGGGATGCTCTTGCTTTCCTGTGGTGGCTATGTGTAGGTGCTGGGCTAGGGAAGGTTATCAGAGAAGGGAAGGATTTGCTTCACTCATTGAATTGTAGCCTTTTAGACACATGGAAGTTCAGGTGCTGATACTGTGCTGTGTAGCTAGAGAACTTCCTGAGGAATCATGTGGGACCTGATCCCCAGTTCCCAATTTGAGCTTCTCCATCTGTTTCCACCCATATTGGAGCAGACCTGTATCTTGGAGGCAAGATCTGGGTAGTGAAAAGCTCAGGGGATGTTGGCTGGCCACGTTAGTATATGAAATGTTGAGGCATGGAAGGGAGCAGCCAGTTTACAGCTGAGGAATAGTTTGCCTTTCCTCTTAAATTCCTGCGCCTGGTTTCTATGAGCACTGTTACCCACTGCTTGCAGTGAGACTCAGCACTGGCTTTGGGGGGCCTGGTGCTTAGCGAGGTGTAACTGCAGCTCTGCACTGGAGCAAACTGCACCCAGCAGTATCACAGGAGCTGGAACATCTGGTGCGTGCTAGGTTTTAAACTGGACATGCTTTAATGGGACGGGACTTGTGGGCTGCCACTCGTTACCTTGGGAAGTTTCTGTAAGCCTGTTTAAAGATGTTAGGACTGCCAAGGGGCAGCAAACTGTATCTTTAAGTGTCCAGAAGTGAAAGAGCCTACGACTCACGTGCAGTACCCCATGGAAAAGATTCTCTCATTTTGGTCACTTGAGCTATTAAGGATAGCATCATTAACTGTTGTGTGGTCTTGATCAGGCTGCTTCCCAACTGCTTGATCAAGGAGAGCAGGCAGAAGCCTTTGGTCAGCAATCTGAGGTGTCTGCAGATCAATGAGCAGCTGCCTATGGGAGCTGCAATTGCCCTGGCATTCTCTGGCCGAGCAGAACAACAGGCCACCGAGTTCAGCCAACTTCTTCACACAGCTGCTGGGGGGAAACACAGGTGATGCTCAGCTGGGTGTCACACTGGCCAACAGGGAGCTGGTCAGGGCTGTGATAGTCAGGGCAGCTGTGGCTGCTTTCACCTGACATGGACCTGATACTCACAGAGGAAGGTGAAGGCTCCAGCTGATAGAGTTTCCTTACAAGTAAAGGAGTAGACAGGGGTGGTGCGGGCCTCCTGTTGTGTCAATAAGCACAGGAGCAGAGAGGGCTGATGCACCTCACCGCTTCTTTGCCTCTGTTTTCACCAGCAACGCTTCCCTGGCTTTCATGCCTGAAGGCAGGATTCCAGAGCACAACTACCAAATGGTGGGAGAACTCCTCGACGGCAGCCCTGCCAAGAAGCTCTTGGGCTTCCCTGGGAGACAAAAAGCTTCACCTGTGTCAGCAGTGTGTGCTGGTAGCCCAGAAAGCCAACAGTATTGTGGTCTGCAACAAAAGAGCGGTGGGCAGCAGGGCAAGGGAGGCGATCATCCTTCTCTGCTCTGCCTTCATGAGGCCCCAACTAAAGTACTGTGAATCCTCTTGTGGTGTCCTGGCCCATCTCGTGGCTTGGAAGATCATGGTGATCTTACTTCTGTCTCGTCAGCTGATGGCAGGTCACAGGAACGCTGGCGGGTTGGGTAGTGGGTGGTTGCTGAGATGATGGATCTCTGCTGAATGAGGCATCTGGAGGTGGGGGCTCTGGGGCCGGGCCGCTCCGCTCCAGGGCCGGGCCAGGTTTTCATTTCTTTATGTACTGCTGTGTTGCTGCAGCTGCCCTTCTGTATTGTTGTTGCTTTTTTTGTTTGTGAATATTAAAACGTGTTATCTCTGTGTTGGTTGTCATCCTGCTCTCTTTTCTCTGTTTTGCAGGTCAGCTCGTGCTGGAAGTTGGTGGTGTGACTGTATGAATGAAGGTCAGTTCAGGAGCAGCTGCTGATGGAAGGAATGAAGTCCACGTTAATGGGCTGAAGCATCTCCTGGTAAGGTGTCAGAGCCAGCAGTAACGATGTCTGTCGTGAAAAGCAGAGGGCTGGCTCATCCAACTGCTTGCTGATTGATGTGTGAGAGCATCTGCCTTCTCCAACTGAACAGTAAGAAAGCTGGATATGCTGAACCATTACAGCTCATGCAGAAGTTGTGAAAATGCTCTCAAATGTTTCCTTTAGTGATAAGCTGTGTTTTGGCACTGTGATGGCCCTGTCTCTGATCTGGAGCACTGCATCTCTTGCAAGCCTTGTGTGCCCGTTTCCATGAACCTTCCTTTCTTTCGCTCTTCAGAAGAAGTGCTGGGTGCTTTTGGGGGTGTCACGGAGTTGATCAGATCAATCTATGTCGGTGACAGGGGCGACAGGCCTCTGCCCTCCCCCCCCACCCCAGTCCCACAAAAATGGGAAGGAAGGAAGGGAGGAAAAGAGCAGCGGCAACAATCTATGGAGGAAAACTTGTTTTACTATAATATTGGAATACAAGATAACAAAATATAATACAATTTAATTGAAATTGGGATTAATAAATCAGATAAGATGAGAGAGAGAGTTCCTGGGACCGAGTCAAACCTGGAAAGCTTGGAACGGCCAGGAAAGCACCTCCAGCACCCACTGCCAGGCAGCAAGAGAGCGCCCCCCCACCCGGAAGGGCCAGATCCCGTGACTGCTGTAATGTACAGGGATAGGTACTGGGATTGGGGCAGTGACACTTTAGTGCCCCGTACACTACATGATGTTTTGATGTGGAATACTGAAACCCAAAAATAAAAAAAACGAAAACAAAAACAGAACCATGACAGGGTGGGGAGAAGGCAGTAAAATACCCTGGAACGAGGGGGTGGGGGGGCGGGTGAGCACGGGGCCTGAAGGCTGAGTGGGGCTCGAGGGGCCGTAGGGGGGGGAAAGAGAGTGGGTGGAGGGGAGGGAATGCTGGGTTAAAGCCTGCTGGCCGGGCAGGGCACCCTGCAGGGTTCAAAGTTGGGTTGCCGGCTGGCCGGGTGCCCTGCCAGGCCAACATCTGGCTGGCCAGCCAAAATGGGGTTGCACACATAAGAGTTGCACGAGGGCTTGCATGAGGGTGTGGGCGTGGGTTTTGCACAAGGGTTGTGCACAAGGGCTGCACACATAAGATTTG